GGCGGCTCAGTCCCCACAGGCGTCCCGCTAACGACGAAGGGGTGGAAGCAGGAGGAGAAGGGACTGATGGAAACACGAGGTTCTCCCCACGTTCTAAAGGTTGCTTCTGATTTCATCGACGGCGTTTTACCGGACTTTAACGGTGTTTGGGCTTGCATGAGGCGATGAGCTGTCCCCTCCTTAAGGGAACGGCCATCTTTTTGCCCCCGACGAGCGTCTCCTCTACCTGACTCACCACAACTACGGGCCACTTCCAGGTCATCGAGCTTCCAGTGTGGAAGACCTTGCCAAAGACACAGGAGAGACATTACTTCTGGTTCATTTAACGAAGTCGACAAGTGTTTTAGAAGGGGAGGAGAGAGTTAACGTCGGCCCAAATGAACATCGGCAGCTCTGAGGCGTTCTCTGGTTTTGTCCTTTTCTGCTCAAAGTTTTGCAAAGAAGGTGACAGGAGAACGCAGCATTCTTGACTTTGTGTGTGTGTGTGTGTGTGTGTCACAACTGTTTCTCTTCCCCAAACTAGACACAAAACACAGTTTTCAAATAATGATTTAAAATCTACCCAAACCTAGTAACTGGTTCAGCCAATTTTGGTGGCAACATCTGCCTCTGCAGTGACTGGAAACCAGTTTTTTGAGTCACCGTGGAGGAATTTGACCTACTTTTCTTTGCACAATTGGTTTCTTTTCACCCCAAGGAAGGCTTTGCAGTATGAATAGACAGCTTTTGGGTTCAGACCTTAACTAGGCCACAATAAAGCCTCCATTTTTTTGTCTTTCGGTCACCTTGTGAGGTTACAAACTGATGTCTGGTCAATCTCCTTCAGGATTTTCTGGATAACAGCAAACTTCATGGTTCCATAAACCATTACTGCTACTCCGGAAGCAGTGATGGAGCATCATGCTAACACCATTGTTGTCTGTTGTTAAAATGATGTTTTTCTGAATTGTTAGATTTTATGCCACATACAGCATGACAGACAGCCTCCAAAATGTTCAGATTTCTCTGCCCAGTCCACGGATTATTTTTTGGAAATAAATGAAATTACTATTTAAAAAACACTTGCTTTTTAACATATTTACGTGTGACAGGAAATACATTTGAAAGGGATGAGAAAATACTTTTTTCACAGGACCACTTCTTCAGAAGTCAAGCTGTAGTGGTGGGAAATATTTCACAATTGGACACTTTGACCTTCTCCTTGCAGAAAAGTTGCTTGTAGTTATCTCTCGATGATTCAGAGATTTCCAGGTAAGAAAACAAAAATAATAATAATAATAATAATAATAATAATTGAAAGTATGACTCATGGTTAAACCAACGCAGATTTGGAGCTCACATTACAGGCTTTCTATTCTTTTAATGATGCATCCGTGTAGCAGAAAAGTGATAAAAACAGTTCATTTCCTCCGAGGTGCAGCTTCAGGCTCCTGCCTCACTCGGCTCACCTGCCTTCAGTCTCTCCTCCAGGCTCAGCCAGAGGCCTTTCTGTCCCACCTCAATGTGCTAATGGCCATTAAAGAGCACAAAAAGTGTCTTTATAAGACTCAGCCGCTGGCGCTGTCGGCTCCACTACGGCTGATTGCACCTACACACTCCTTTGCTGCTTTCATGGGTTTTTTTTTTCCCCCTCTCATTCTGCTGCTGCTTTGTTCTCCGTGGTCTTATCTGTCAATGTGAATCATAGTCGTGTTCAAAGAAAGTGACAGAATTGCTTGTATGAGGTGCTTGCACTCTGCTTCTCTGAATTTTTGCCCGTAGCTGTATGTAATTATGCTCATCTGAACCAAGAGAAAAATGGCTAACAGCTGCAGCACCGATTGGGACCTCAGATAAGAAGTCCAGTTTATTTGAATGCTTCATTATGGGATCATTAAAGGAAAAAAAAAGAATCATAATTGATAACGCGATGAGACATTCCTCAAAATGGTCATGACTTTTATGACCTGTGGAGATGAGGTCACGCTGAAACTGGAACTGACCAGTGACTTCAGTCCATTTCCCTTAAACGACTTCTGTTTTTCTGTTTCCCCTGGTGCTTATCTTCCCCGACAGGAGAACCATCACATCTGACCGAGGTTTCAATGGGAGGGGATGGACCCACGCTGACCACTGTGTGACTGCTGCCCTAACCTTAGACTCCTACAGGGACGGGAACAATGCCGAAAGCTCCGGCCAAAGTTGCATCAGACATACTTTCACAAAGAAAAAAGACAGAAAAAACGTTGCCTCGCAAAGATATTTATGCTACTTAAGCTTTTCTACATCTTGCCACATTACAACCACAAACTTCAATGTATTTTATTATGATATTCTGTGGTAGACCAACACAAAGTAGTTCACAATGGCTCGTGCTCAAAGTCACACTCCAGGAACAGCCACAAATTCTCAATTGGATTTAGGTCTGTACTTTGACTGGGCCGCCCTAACTCTTGTACGGTGCTCAAAGTGGGGCCAGAGGACAAATATCTTGCGGCCTTCCCGAACATAAAGTGATTTTGAATTAAATAAATTAGGACAAAAACCACAACTTTTGAACCAAAAATCAACCAACGAAAATGTGAGATGTGATAAAATGTGTTCATCTTTTCCAAGCTTTCTGGTTTCCTCCTATTGCCAGGGCAATTAGGACCACAACTCTTCATTTACTGACACTCTAATGTACATTTTGGGCCACACAAAATGTTCTTCCTTTTTTTTTTTGCTGTATTAAAACTCGTCTAAATACAATTTTGAACAAAGACTTAGCTAGATCCTGCTTTCATTGCTAATGATAAACAAAATATATATATATATAAATATATATATAATTTTTTTTCTTCAATTAAAAAAAATGGGTAAGCTAACTGGATGCTTTTAATCTAACAATAAAAATAATCCTGTTCCTAAAATCAGATTTGTTAAATTGATTATTTGATTGTTGCGTGAGTAAAATAGTAAGAATTAAATTGATTTTTTTTTTCTGACCTACTAGAGTTTTGAAAGATGTTTTCTGCATAAAGAAACATGTTAAAAATGTTGACCACATGTGACAAAAGGTTTGGGGACCCCTGATGTGAGCCATTCCAGTGTCCACTATTGGTTATCTCATTAAATCCCTACATAATACGATGAAGTGTGAGCTGGGAACAGGACAAAAAGCAGAAAAAAGTTAGAGTTACAGTATGAGGTTGAACATTGCTACTGAATCCAGGATATTAGATCAGTGGATAGTTATTGTGTCACCCTACTGTACAGAAGAAGTGTAAACAATGTAAGGGCTGCATGACAACTAATAATGACAAGGTGGCCTTAAGATGGACTCTGGAGTGTCACAAATCTAATTTTACACATGAAAATTAACACACTATTACTCAGCCTGTGACAAAATGACATGCGAAGCTCTGGAGGTGTTGAATAAAATCTGATACAAGCCAAATTATGCCACAGCGATGTCACCACATCATCTAACAACCTTTATCTGGAATTTTTGAATTGCTTCGACGCTGCGTCATAAGAAACATGGAGGATCGGGTATTTCTGGAGTTCATCCCATGCACGAAAATAAAAGATTCACATTTTCAGCTTCCGTTGTTCAGCATTGTGACTCATGCTGGCTCTGAGAATTCCTGCGAATTTGCATTTGATGGCTATATGTACAGATAAAAACAAATCCTTTCACAAGAAAGAAAGGGTTAATTGCTTTGTCAAACATAGAGATTTACAAAATTGAAGTGCAAGGGTTCATTTGCAAATTGGAATTTACTTCCTACATGAAAAAAATAGGTTAGAAAACATTCATGTTTATGTCTTGACCAAGCTTATGCACATATATGTTTCTGAGACATGAGCCTTAAAAAGACTTGCAACATGCAGCTGTAATAAAATGAAATGACAAAGAGGGGTTGAATATATTTGCTCTATGGTTTTGGATGGTTTTTCTTTGTGATACGTCTTTTTCCTTCCACCCTGCAAATTTCCGCCACTGCATGTAACTTAATTACATCAAATCCCAGCAAAAATAAACTGAAGTTTGAAGTAAAAGAGTTAATGAATTATGTATGATTTTACAAGGTACTGTATGCCTTGTAGATGTGCTTTGTTATCAGATACCTTAAAAATATAGCTTAAGGTTACAGAACTTCTCTGAAAAACCTGCGCGGTGTTACTGAAGGGAATTTTGCAACGATTGTCACACAACAAGACACTTCCGACATTAAATAAACAAAGCAGGGATGAGAACAGGTGCATTTTGACAGTGTAGTCGATTCATATGTGGGTCCGAAACGCAGGTCACTACCATCTGTCTGAAACGGCAATAAGAGCTCAAGAGCTGGAGCAAGAAATGCAGTCAAATCTATGCGGCCTTACAAATTTGACATGAACGCTGGGAAAATTGGGAAGTTAAAGGAGTGTGGGTGTGTGGCCCTGTGGGCACTGAATCAGAGGTCATTACCATACAGGCAAGACAAAATGTCTTTCTATCAAACAGGTGTTCAGTTCAGGGAACACGTCTTCCGTCACAAATACCTGAGCGGCTGTGTCATGTGTTCGCTCGTCCAGGAACGCCTCAAGCTACGATAAAGAAAAAAAAAAACATACATTTATAAGACGCAAACACATTTCCTCTTATTTTTTCTTTTTTTCTTTTAAATAGTTAGCCAAAATTCAATAAAACAGGGGCTTTTTAAATACCATGTCATATACCAAGTCGTTGCCAGATACTTTTTGGGCATGTTTGACAGTTACCCATCTTCTCCTTGCCCTCCGGCTGGAAAAGAGCAGAATTACACCTCCTCCTCCTCCTCCTCCTCCTCCCACAGCGATGTCAGGAGCTGGAAGAGGGCCAGAATGGGATTGACTTTCTGCCCCAGGCAGGGAGGAACTGGCGCTCCAGGATACCCAAATATGGAGCGGCCCGTATCAGTTTGGATCGCATGACTCAGCGCCAGACTATATATCCACGGACCAGAGGGAAAACTGGCCGCTTTAGAACAGCTGATCACTTAATGACACATCAGGCTCCATCGCCGACTTTTATTTATTATTTTAAATTTTTGATACTTTCTAAATCACTTTAAAAAAAATAAAACATAAAAAAAAAATACCTACATGTGGATTTAACTTCTCAGTCGTCTGTTTACCTGCACCGAGTTTCCCCCCCTCGTCTTGTTTATGGCCTTGGATTACTGGCAACAACGTCAACGTCAATCTCTCGGTGGGCGGGACCTCTGAACGCGGCGGCCAATCAGCGGGCTCCGCTTGAGACGCGCTTTAAAAGCGGAGGAGCGCCTCGGCCGATGCCAGTAATAAGGAAACTGAGGACGAGTTTAGGACTTACAGAGAGAAGAAGAGGAATGAAAACATCCGAGTAAATCTCTGGACTCCGCTTTGAATCCATCTAAAGGTACAAACCGACGACTTGGTACAGTACAGTTCCCATGTTTTGGAAGTTTTGCTGTTTTTCGTAGCATTAATAAATACAGCGGGACTTTGCGCTGGAGACATTTGGGACACAGCAGCATCGTTTGCAGCGCAACTCTTGTATTTGACTGTCGTTTTTTTTTTTTTTTTAAAGAAAAACAAACACACACAATATGTCCACAATAATGGAACAGCCTTTTTATGACGACTCGTTTCTCTCTGCTTATGGCCATCCAGGCGCTGCCCTGCCAGACTACAAGCTGCTAAAGCAGAATATGAACTTGAACTTCTCCGATTCATATCGGAACTCGAGCTTCAAGCCACAGCACCTGCGCGCAGACAGTGATTTCTACCCGGCGGGCGCCGCGGACGTGGGCTCGCTGAAGCTCGCGTCGCCCGAGCTCGAGCGGCTCATCATCCAGAGCAGCAACGGGGTCATCACTACGCCGACCCCCGCACAGTACCTCTACAACCGCGGCATCACAGAGGACCAGGAGGTGTTCGCGGAAGGCTTCGTCAAAGCCCTGGACGATCTGCACAAGATGAACCAGATGGCGCCTCCAAACGTCTCCATCGGCACCGGCGGGATCGCGTGTCCGGCTCCGGGCGCCGTGTTCGCGCACTCCATGCAGACGGAGCCGCTGGAGTACACGACCCTGAGCAGCTGCACCACGAACCCCAGCCTGACCTCCACGGCCAGCTACCCGTCCACGACCATCAGCTACCTACCGCACCACCAGTACCACCAGCACCCCCAGGCCGTGGCGCACGGGTCGCACCACTTCCAGCACTCTCTGGCCGGAGCCGGCGTCCACTCGCAGCGCTTCGGGGGCCTGAAGGAGGAGCCCCAGACGGTGCCCGACATGCAGAGCAGCGACAACAGCTCCCCGCCGATGTCCCCCATCGACCTGGAGAACCAGGAGCGGATCAAGGCGGAGCGCAAGCGGCTGAGGAACCGGCTGGCGGCCTCCAAGTGTCGGAGGCGCAAACTGGAGCGCATCGCCCGGTTGGAGGACAAGGTGAAGGTGTTGAAAACGGACAACGCCGGACTGTCGAACACGGCCTCCCTGCTGCGGGAGCAGGTGGCCCAGCTCAAACAGAAAGTCATGACTCATGTGAGCAGTGGCTGCCAGCTCATGTTAGCGCCGAAAGTGAAGTCTTACTGAAGAAACTATGCACTTTTCAATGAACACTGGACAAAGAACAAACAAAAAAAAAAACTGCACTGAAAAACAATAAGACTTTATACGCTGAGTGGATGAGAACTGAAATGTGTGTGGCTTTAAAGAAAAAGAAAGAAAAAAGCCAGACAAGAAATCCTCCGATCAGCCTACAAGAAACACTTAGGGGCATTTTTGAACGCGTTTTTAAAAGTGTCGTCTTGGCTTTCCCTGTTTACATCTTTTTGTTGTTGTTGGTCGCCCTTTGTGATGCTTTTTAAGTGTATAAATTATTTGTATTTTTGTTTTGTTTTTTCCTTTTTCTTTTGTACCTGTAAAATAATATTTAAGTAAAAGAAAACAAGTCATTAAAACACCATGCTGCTTATAAATGTCTATTCTTTGAAAAACTCGCTCGTATTTCTCGTAAACACAACCACACTGTTGTCACTGATCAGAAGTTTTACACCAGAAGTTGCCAAAACGTCCCAGCGTAGGACTTTTCCTCCCCCTGTCCCCCTCCCCTCCTCGCTGACGTACGTGCGTAAAACCCATATACGGCAAAAAAAAAAAAAAGGTTGCGTGCGGACGTCACAAGGTTTCCGGGAACTCCCTCCTACATTGCCAGTCAGAGGCTGCGCTCTCCCCTTCACACCACAGCGAGAGCGAGGTTTGTCAATGAGTTTATTCTGGTGAAGGGAGTTTCCCCCCCCCTATTCTGCTTTTAGTTTCCCAAAAACAAGCCTTGTGATCAACAGTTCAGGAAAGAGAGAGAGAGAAAAAAAACAACAAAAAAAGTTCCATGAAAACATGTAGTGACGTTTAAGTTGAAAAGTAGTCGGAAAGAAAAGCTGGTGGAAAATCTCTGATATGAAAAACGTCAGATTTGAAGGATATTAATGCTTTTGATGTGGGCTCCAGCATCGTTACTGATTATATATATATATATATATATATATATATATATATATATATATATATATATATATATATATATATGAAAGTACTAGTATTAAGAAACAGTAGGCTACTGCTAAATTCATTGTTTTTTTTTCAGTTATAAAATTTGCTGGTGAAAATAATCAAAAGTAATAAAAGGGGCCAAAATTAAGCCACTTGATTAAATTTTCCTTTGGAATATATCAATCCACATAGCAGATAAACTCCAAACAAAAGAATCTTGAATATTTTCACTTCATTATTTTGAAACTTTTACAACTTAATTAGTTGAGAGGTGAGTGAAATAAATGAATGAGACCAAACTCTACAGGGTCAACATCCAATGGTTAGATTTATCAGATAAAAAAAAAAAAACCCTAAAGAACTAAAGGTACTCCACTGAAATGGTTAAATGTTTGCAGGTTTTCCTTTTAAGTAAAATCCGGCATACACACATTTTTTTTTGAATGTCCAATTTTCAGTCATTTACAGAAGTGATTATTCAAGTACTCATTTGGAGTACTTTTAGACTTTAATATTATGGTTTGAGTTGAAATGACTACAATTTGGGAAAATGTTTCTACTCAATTTTAAATTAAATACAGACATATATATATATTGAACTATCCAATCTTTCCTAACAGGAACTGGAGCCATTTGGCAACAGCTGATTGTTGTGCTGAGTCAACCACCACAATAACTCCAATATTAACCAAGACTTGGCAGCTTTGTGACGTACTGTGATCTTCTGCCAGGCAAAGCTGTTCAACTGCCTCAGGTCCAAGAACAGAAGAAGAAAAAGAAAAAAAAACAAAAAAAACTCAGATTGGAGTCTCAAAGTCGGATTTAGAGTTTTGCTGCCACCTAGTGGTGATTAATTAATAGAGATTTCAAAAAATTCATTTGCACAGAACAGTGTTTTCCCCACATTTTAATAGAGATGGTAGCAAATGACAGCAAGGAAAAATATCACTTTTTTGATAAACAAAAAAGAGGGAGGAAAAACTAAACAACAGTTTCAGTGCGTGAGACTAAGAGGTTATCCCATCAACTGTGGCCCTGGAGAGGAAGTTTGTAAGTTTGTTCTAATGGATGAGATCTGCAGTATTTCACAGGAAAACCTCCACTCCAAAAAAAGACAAGTGCCATACTCATGAAGAATCTGCTGGACAGAAAACCTTGAGATTTACTGCTTGGAGAAGAAGGCTTTGCTCTTCTCCACGTCGGGGATGATTGTGTCGCTCCCGGGCTTCCAGCCGGCGGGACAAACTGTGCAGAGATAGAAAAGGGATAAAGTTTACTTCAAGTGTCAGAGGTGGTTGATAAGCTACGTTATCACAGGACAAAGTGCACATGTGTGAATGTACAAGAGGATAAACCAATATCGTTGCTAGTTAAGGTTAAACTATGAAGGCAGATGGCTAATTCGGTTTCATGTTGTTCTTTTTGACAAATATGTGCAGCACATGTGCAGATGCAGTAAACGTTTGTCAAATTTCAGATTATTTGGTTTTGTGCAATAGGCTGCCTTTATTTCTTTACATCTCCTGTCACTGCTCTTTATAGTTTCAGAGGAGCCTGTGAAAATGATTGGGTAGCAAGTATTTTACCGTTGTGCAAAAGTAACTCCAACAAAGCCACGCATGTATCTCAAAGTGGGTCACAGCTTTTGCATCGTTATAAAATATGAATTATATCAGCGAAAACATTTAAACTGGGCAGAATCAATACTTTTTTTAAAAATTACTTCATCAAGAAACTAGTTCCCACTTCTTGAATTTTGTCTTACTTTTTGTACATTACCAAAATAAACACATGCCCCAAGTTGCACATAAAAAAAACTAAAACATTTTTGATTACAATTTTTATTTCTTAAGATAACTGGCAATATCTTAAATAATAAAACTTAAATTTTGCTTTACAACTACCAGGATGCCCACCATGCAGGAAAAGATCTGACTGTGATATTGTGTCTGAATGTTGGGATTATATTTAGAAACCAATTTTTTCTGACCATTTCTTGTCATGGTCGTTTCCCCAATCATCATCTTAGAAAAGCAACTAGAAATCTATTTATAGTGTGGATTGAATTAGCTGGAGCAATATCTCAAACATTGCTACTCCAATGTCACACACACATTGCAGTGTTACTGTTTAAAGAACAGCAAAAATAGTAAAAAAAAAAAAACAAAACAAAACACAGTTGAACACAGTTGTGATGTCATTTCAGATCCAAGATTACCAAAAGCTCATATTTAACCCACTTTGATTAAATATATCCTTGTCTGCTTCTATGTTACCCATGTTTAATGGCTTTTCTCAGAACATATTCAGCAGACTTACTGCAGTGACTGACCACAGGTTTCCTGTGTTTAAAACCACATTGACTGGTGAATAAGAACTTGAAGCCAGGCACCAAGATTAATGTTATTTTAGTTTTAAACTCAAATACAACAGGCAGGATTCAGGAAAAGAATTAATTTGAGGTTTACTGCTCTGCCTCGTGGGCTTTGTGGTTTTATTGAACTTGCTGTCACTGCACAGATTATGTGACTCCAGTAGGAAAGCAAGAATTTACAGATGTAAAGTTCATTTGATGATCTGGCAGGGGAGATCTTCATGCATCTCTCTACATAGAAACCTTAGAAAAAAATAGTGGTTTTCAAAGTTCAGCATTTTAGCTTGTGCCTATAGTCATATGGATGATAAATTTACCCTCTCCGTGTTTGTCAGTGTGCTGGAAGGCTTGCACCAGACGCAGGGTCTCATCCACAGAGCGGCCCACAGGCAAGTCGTTGATGGTGATCTGCCTCAAGGTTCCCTTACCGTCAATCACAAACAAACCCCTGAGAGAGCAAAATGACACCAAAGGATCAGCAAAATATATTCAACGTCATGTTCCATCTTTTAGACAAAATTTTATTTTTTTTAAACCACCCAAAAAAAAAAAAGAAAAAGAAAAAAATTGAATCTAAGGGGTCAAACTGACCTGTATGCGATGCCTTCATCCTCCTTCAACACGCCATAGTCTCTGGAAATGGACTTTGTGAGGTCTGCAACAAGGGGGATCTTCATGGCACCCAGTCCTCCTTCTTTCCTTGGTGTGTTGATCCTGAAGAGGTGGAGGAAAAATAAATAAATAAATAAATAAAATAAAAGATTATATATATATGTGTATATATTTTTTTCCCTCCACCTCTTCAGGATATACTTCAAAATGATCCCTGGCAAAACTTAATGACTGCTACATTAAGTTTTGTTTCAGAAAGCGCAAAGTAGCCATTTGATTTAGCAGCAACAAGTCACGAGGCGCCATTTCTATGAGTTGATTTTAGGGAAAAAGCAGAAATCCAACAAAAAGCAACTCAGCAGCTGACGTAAGCAACACAAGACTCGAAATAGTTTCAATTATTTTCGTGGAGGAGGGAGGCGTTATTAATACAAACAGAAGATCAGGCAAGTTGTGCAACACCTCTCTTCCTTCTAGAAGGTGAGACGAATTGAAGGCCGTTATTAAGACGCTTATCAGCAGCTGCAGAAAGGCAGCAGGGCAGCAGATAGAGAAGGGTGGGTTCTTCTTAGGCCAGAGTTCCCTCCATATGGAGCAGATATTACACAAACTTCAATACCAAGACAGCCTGATGAAACTCTTACTTTAATTAGTGGCTTAAAACAGAAACAAAGTGGCAATGTACAAGTATTTTACGCCCAAAAACCTCTTACCATGCCAAGTGGGTGAAATGGGAGTCAATGGAGCAGCCGATGACTTCACAGTTAATGCGGCGGAAATCCTCTGCTCTGTCGCTGAAGGCGATGATCTCAGTCGGGCACACGAAGGTAAAGTCCAAGGGGTAGAAGAAGACGACCACGTACTTTCCTGGGGGACACAGAAAAATGTTCAAACTCTGGTTCTCATCCGATGCTGAGCATACTGTGCACATACTGGGTTTCCCCCCCACCCCAGGAATAAAAAAATAAAAAATAAAAAAAAAAGACACCTTTGTAGTCAGACAGCTTGATTTCCTTGAACTGGCCATCTACCACAGCTGTGGCCTTGAACTCTGGCGCAGGCTTGCCAATCTGAGCGTTTCCAGAAGACATGCTGGTGAATAACTGAGGGAGACAAATACCTAAAGCATTAAAAACACAGAAATGAACATCGAAACTGAGAAGGAAACTAGACCAATACAAGGCTGGAAAAAAAAAAACCCACAACAAAACAAAAACATGCATGCAAACACCTGGCATTTGAAGTATAATTCTTATTGGTTTAAAAGCAACGTCTCAACATTAGCCCCCTTTCAAACGTCTTCTGGAGATCACATGCAAGTCACGGTCTGCCAGTAGGGAACAATGGCCTTTCATGCTTATGCAACCATGATCAGCACAAGCTAAGACCTAATGCAGGATACATTGATTTGATATGAAGCTGAAACAACGCGACATTTAACGCACTTCAAATTATTTAACGGTCATCCGCCAACATGGTGATTATGCAAAAAGCGCACTTCCAACATTTTTTTTTTTCTAACGTGGTTCGCTGCAGAATGCAAAGGCATCGCTTCTGCTTTCATTTAGACGGAAACAACAAAAATCCCTCCCTGCGTCACTTCGGCGTTTTAGCAAAACATTAAACCAGCGGATGTCACCAGTTTATCGATGTCGCGGAAAGCCTCGCATTTAAATCGGTTCAGACAATAAAGTCGATAAAGGAGCACAGACCCGAGCAGGAAGCTGCGCTCCAGGAACAAAGAAAGAGCCAGAAACTCTTGGAGGAAGAGGAGGAGGGAGCAGTGAACCCGGGCAGTCTGCTTGTGGCTTAGCTTTATTCTTAGCTCGGTCCACTGCGCTCACTCTCCTGCGCTTCTTTTACAGAACAAACATTTTCTTGAAACTGCGCACACACTCGTCAAATAACCTCCAACTAAAGACGCACACTCGACATTCCGCGCTCACCTTAGTTTCGCAGGGCTGCGGGGAACTTGGCCACGTTGGTCTACGGCTTGTGCTGCAGGCAAGAGGATCCAAGGAGGGAGATTCTGCGCAAAAAGGACTCCAGAACAGCTGTGGCCCCCGGAAGTACAAATGTGGCGCTTTAAATATAAAGCTTGGAGCTCGAGAGCCAGCTGACACTTCTTCTTTACGTTTCCACGAATCTTAGATAATTTAACTTAGAAGTGATAAGTTGTTGCGACACGTTTAGGAGACACTTTTTATGTTTCGCAAATATAAGTGAACCTGAAATCCGATAGGGGTCGAAAAGATACTCCTAAATTAAGCCTGACAATAAATAATTGGAATGACATGTTGAATAATAAACAAAAGGGCTAAATGATCATTTTGCTCTGGCTGGGAAGTGAATGGGATTTTTGTCTGGTACCCACTAGGGCTGGGGGGAAAAAAATAAAATAGTTTTATCGACTTTTTTGGTTAGTACATTTAAAAATGTATCATTTCGACAACTTTTATTTTGAAAAGAACAGTTCCAGTGGCGCACCATGCTACTTCCGGTTAGCTCATAGAGCGACGTGCTGAGCGGTTTCTTGAACGTCCACGGTAATTTCGTTGTTACTGAGTTTCATTTATTGGCTGAAATGACAGATGTGCTTAATTCGTGGTTCGCTCGTGCTTCACTTGAATGAGGGGCCGCGCTAATAACACGCGGCTAATCTCGGGATTTCAAATGTAAACAAAAGAGCAGAGAGGTGGCTCAAGTTAGCTTTTACTTAAAAAAAAAATACAGACGAAATTTTCTCTTCGTCGTTTTTTTTTTTTGTTTTTGTTTTTGTGAGGTCGGTTCAAATCAGAGCCACACAATTAGAAAATAGCTCGATATTGTTTCACACGACATGTTAGCTGCGTCGCGTTGTTTATTTCTGTCAAAGTATAACATGACGAAATGTTGGTTTGTTGTTAACAGAAATCATTTCTGTTATTGTCATTTTTTTAATTTGATATGATTTCTAAGGACCCTACAAGAAGACAGCTCCTCCTCTCCGGGAAACCGCCCGCTTTATTCAGTGTAAATGGACTCTCAAGGTAAGTTTACCAGTAATTCAACTGCTGTGTGTCCTATAGTCCACTAGAGAGAGAGTGAATTAGTGTAGCACTGTGCACAATATGACACAGCCCTGAAGCTTCACTGATATTGGGGAAGAGGGTAAAAAATCAGGTTTGTTCAATTGAGACAGCGTCACGTTTTTTTGCAGTATTTTCTCAAACAAATGTCCAAAAACTATTGAGAAGTCAAATGGTAATTGTAATTTTAAATAAAAAAATATTACATTGATGACATATGCAAAATCCTGTGTATAAAGCCAGAAAATGTTAAACTGTGACAATAAAAAAAGAAACAGTTACATTGGATTACAGTTCAGTTTTTGATATAACAGAGTTTTGTTTGTTTTTGAACATCCTGATGCTTATCATATTATGTGTTGATCAGTGTTTTGTTTTGTCGTACTTGTTGTTCTCTCCATATTTTCCTTTCCGCCCCGTCTTTCTTCAACTCCAACGTCTCTGCAGCTAACTCGGGACCCGTAGTGTGTGAGGTGTGCGGGGCCTACTTTGAGACACGGCGGGGCCTCTCCAGCCACGCTCGCCTCCATCTGCGTCAGCTCGGCGTGACCGTGTCAGAAAACAGCGGGGCTCCCATAGAGCTGCTCTACCAGCTCATTCAGGAGAAAGACAAAGACCTCAAACCAGACGTCGCTCCATCTGTGTCTCCACCGCTGCCTAAGAAAACATCCCAGCAGGAGCCGAAGACACCTGTACCTCCGGAGGACGCTCCCGCTTCCTCCAAGACAGCGACGAAGTTTGTGGCCACTCAGGGATCTCCGGCCAAGCTTAAAGAGGCAGGAGCGTCTTTTTTCCCGTCCTCTCCCTCTTCTTCTAGGCCGACTGAAGGCAGCAGCTCGTCACTGTCAGACCAAAAAACAATCACCAAGCCACTGTGGGCTCCGCTGGAAACCGATGCTCCGCTTACGTTAGGTAGGTTGATGCTGAAACAGAAACACAGAGCTGCAGTGGAATAGACTTTTTTATCACATTTGTAGTATTTAGTATTTTGTTAAAGATATTTGATTAAAAAAAGATAGCTTTGTAACAGTTTTATCTTTTTTTCTCGTTCATTATTTTTGACAGCTTCAGAAACTGACAATGAGATCCACGTCTGCCAGCTCTGCGGCTGCTGGTATGAGACGCGCAAGGGCCTCTCTAGCCACGCTCGTGCACATCTCCGACAGATCGGCATCCCCGACGCCGACATACAGGGCGGCCCCATCGAGTATCTGTACCAGATCATGAAGGAGCAGGACTTTGAGCCGATCAGCAGCCTGCAGAGGGACGAGCTGAAATCAAGCAGCCCTTCCAAGTCCTCCTCCTCAAAGCGTCCCTCTGATTTCACCCCTCTGCCCACGTCTCCGTCCAGCAAGCGGCCTAAGATGCCTGAAACCTGCACTTGTGTCCTCTGCGGGGAGAAGTTTGAGAACCGTAAGGGCCTGGGCAGCCACGCACGCTCCCATCTCAAACACATGGGAGTGAACGACTTGGTGGGGAAGAGCTCCGCCATCGAAGCCGTGCAGGAGCTGGTGAGCAGCGGCGTGTTGGAGCCAATGCATCTTCCGAAAATGTCCAGCACTGCCAGCTCTTCGACGGCGCCGTCCTCGGCGCCGCCGTCTCCCGTTGTCCCCGTGCCATCCCCGGCTGCCAGCCAGTCCAGGACCTCCTTCACCCCTACGGGTCTTTCTCCGAGCCCTTCCACCAGCTCCCACTCCCCCCAGCCGCTGCTCAACAGGGCGCCGAAGGCGAAGAAGGGATTTCGGCTGGCCGTGGATCCGCTTCTTAAGAAACCAAAGCCAGAGCCGGTGGAGATGGAGATTTCTGTTGAATCGCAGCCGTCCAGCAACGACAGCAGCTCTGTGACGCAAAAGGCACCTGCATCGGCCAGTTCCTCAAAACCTCCAGAGTCAGGTAAATCACAAAGTTCCTGTTTCTTTGATCTATATAATCTCACTGATAGCCCTGTTTGCCCGGCTTATGTGTGAGGACACTTAGATAGGGGTGCATCAGTAAATCAGCCCCGATTTTTTTACTTTGGACTGAACTTGAAAAATTTGTCGTATCCTCCACAGACCTGCCGTCTCCACCGACGGTCCTCTGCGACTTCTGCGGGCAGCTGTTCGACACCCGGAAAGCGCTGTCGTGCCACGTCCGCGCTCACCTCCGGCAGCTCGGCCTCACCTGGTCTATCAGAACTTCCCCAATCGACCTTCTAAAAGAGGTCATGCTTCGGCGCGAGGAAAGGAAAGAGCCGGTGCAGAGCGGGTCTTCGGCAGCGGGCAAAGCGGCGTGGAGTCCTCCGGGCTTCAAAAGGCCTCCCAAGGAGAAGCCTCCGCCCCGGGAAGGAGCTTCCAGCTCTGCAGCGATGCCTGTCGACTACTCAATGAAAGACAAAACGCCGTATGGGAAATCTGCAGTCTCAAACATTGGTGAGTCATTTTTCCTAACACATTTTTTCCTTCCGCTTAACTTTCCATTTATTAATGACTTGTCTGTGACTGTGCTGGAGAACTGCATCTGTTCTTATGTCATTTTCATATTCTCCAAGGGACTGAATTTCTGTGTATGGTGCTGTAACTCATCATCAAAGTGAAGAGCAAAAAAACTTGAAATATCTGATCTTGAGCAAAATACACATAAGATGTATGTTGGATAAAATGTATCCAACATGCTATTAAATATTTGTAACCAAAGCACAATTTTTTTCTTTTGTTTTGTGTTTTAAATAAAACCTTCACCCATGCGTTGCTGCCTGCGTCAGATGCCACCTGTGAACTCTGTGGGTTCGACTTCGAGAACCGCAAGGCGCTGGCCAGTCACTGCCGGGCTCACCTCCGACAGCTGGGTCTGTACGAGTGGAAGGCGGACGGAGCGACGTCACCCATAGAAACCCTGAGCGAACTGATCCGAAGAGACCCGAACAAGGTGGCAGAAATAACCAGGCGCTATCGCTACGGAGACCTTTACATCAAGAAGGTGAGCTCTGTGATAAATGCATTCGTTCTTTTAGACATGCTGGGTGAATGAAGTGGATGGTTTTATGCATTTGGTATAAAATATAACATCTTTCTTCTTTTTTTCAAGCTGTTTTTGTCGCACATGAATGTTTGAGATCTTAAAATACGCTGTCATTTTCGACAAAGATAATTTTAGTCAGTACAACATGCAGTTTTGAAGCGATTAGATTTATTTTTCATTCATTTATTCAAGCGAATTAAACCTAGAGTTCAGTTTTCTTGTCTGTCTGGCAACAGGAAGGGTTGATTTAACACGGACTAAACAAGACTGGCGTAAATGCACCCTAAAAGATTTTAAAAAGCAATACCTCACCCTGATTTAAAAGAAAATGTAGGGATGATTAGACACCAACCAGGTTTTAAGCTTTTATTGGGCCATTCACTTCCTTTCGTTTCTCTTCTTTTAGTCTCAGAGGTCTTCTTCTTTGGCTTCGACGTCTATGAATTCTGACGCTTCGCCGAGCAGCAGCCACAACTCGTCTCTGCACCAGCCTGAGCACAAAGCAGGCAGGAAGGATCACAGCATCCGAACAGTGAGGGGTGAGAAAGGCCAGGTCCAGAAAGAGCTGAATGCTGTTTTCTTTTGTTTTTTTGTTCATGTAATCCCTCCTGGTTTCAGGGGTCCATGCCCCCCAACACGGAGTCTCGGGGGATGAAAATCGCCACTCTCACTCCCGGCAGCCGTCTCGGACCGGCAGCATCCCTGCCCTGCTGCCGAAGCCGCCTCTGACTCCACTGGTCAAACTGGTGGGTAAAATCTACTCCCTCAAATGCAGGTGAGCAAGAAGAGGCTGTTCTTTAAATAAATGATTGGAAATAAGACTCACTCCCGCTTGTCCTGCCGTCCAGGTTCTGCGATGAAGTGTTTCACGGGCCTCTGTCTGTTCAAGAGAAGTGGATCACACACCTGCAGAAACACATCCTGTCTCTGGGCTACAAGGGCAAAGAGGCTCCATCTTCCCCTTCCTCTCCACCTGCTCCACCTGCTCCGGCACT